GGGGGGGGGGGGGGGAAGGGGCCAAAGAAGTCCTCTACCATGGTTTCACTTCCATTCTGTGAAGCAGGGTCAGCTAAGCCAATTTCATACTGCACCAGTACAGCTCAGTGCATTTAAAAAAGGTGCATAAAGCAGCACAGGAATTCATGGGAGCTGCTGAGCACTGAAGCAGTTCTCAGGTTGGCTCCTCAGGAGTTCTATTATAGTTCAAAGAACTTGAAGGGCAGCTGACCAGGCAGGATTCAGAGTACAGAAATAGTCCATTAACAATCTTTCTCCCCACTCATTCATTCTCTTTTCCCTTTCCCATAATAGGAGGAATAGCCAGGTTGCATCAGGGACTTGCCCAAGCAGGGCTCTTCATCTCTACAAGAAAGATCTAGTCAGTTTCAGGCCCATTCACACTTCTGGAGTGGCACAAAAGAACCAGAGTGCAAGAGAGTCTGGCTTGTTGACTTGGATTCAGATTTGTTTCTCAGTTTCCAAATCTAGGTGCTGTTTCCAGGCAGTCTAATAAAAGAGATCAAAAGTCATATTCCTTTATTTTCAGTTCCTTTGTTGTAATCGATCTTTCCTGCTATCTTGGGTACACGATAAAAATGCAGCCAACATTTTGAGGGTGAAGGGCAGGTTTCACATTTAAAAAAAAACAAAACACAAAAACAAAACCACACACACCAACAAACTTTAGAAATGTCCTTATTTCTACAACTGTAACATGCAGTCTTTTCAACAAAATGCCTTCCTTCATGCTCTACAGTTATGTATGACCAAAAGTCTAAGTTATACAGCTGTCCAATAAATTTAAAAAGACAAAAACCCCAAAAGATACATTTTTGTAGCCTTCTTTAGAACTCTATCCCATACACTTTACCCACTAGGTATTCAAGCACATAAAATAATTGGTAGTTCTGTAATCCAGCCATTTATCTTTTGATTACATTCTGGTATCTGCAATTATGGCAAATAAATAAGACATTGGGGCAGGACAATAAAATTATATATATAAGCCCCAAACCACTTAACTTGGGGAAGGAGCTGGAAATGAAGTCACAGGGCTATGATGATTTTGAGTCTCAAGCTACACCCTATGCTGAATATTTAGTTGCAGATGGTCAAACAAATTTCAAGACTAAGAGACAAACACTTGTAATCATATTTGACTCCAGCTCCATAATGCCTCCCCGGTTCACCAAAATGCATTTGCTACTGTGTTCAATTACTTAACATGAAGAGTTTCTACTTACATATCCCAACAATAACAGAGGTCATATGCTCCAGTCTCAAGTAGAAGAGGAGATTATAGAAGTTGAAAGAAATAAGAGAAAAGCATAAAATGACGCAGATCCATTCTTGCAGTCTTTTCCCTGTCGACAAGAGGAAATATTGTAATAAATGTTACAGTGATTTACAACCCAAGAAGATACAGTACAGTTGGTTTTCTATTCCCTGAAAAATTCAGTTTCCTTTACTACTTCTTCAGAAATTATGTTGCAGGACCTTATTTAGTGGAATGGCGAGGAATGAATATGCTACGAAATAGCTGTGGCATTCTACTTCTCTACACCATTACTGGAGAATTAATATTATGACTATACAAAATTTACTGTAAGGCAAGTTATGGTGTTTACTGCTGTTTTGTTAACAAATTTCCTAGCTTGTTTGTTTAAGCAAACCTGACCACTCTTTTACAGTTACCACACCTTCTCCCTGTGGGCAAAAGCAGCAGCCTCTACACTGATGTCTAGTGCACATTTCCACCATTGTCAGAACTTCAAACTTGAGCCTTCAACAGATGAATCATTCCAAGATTCCTTTAACTGAAAGGGATCAAAGACCCTTTTCTCCCTCACATCTCTTTAAGAATGATCATGAATCTGTCTATAACATTAGATCTTGTCAGTTAAATGTCTTTCTGCTCAAGCTGCCCATTTAGTAGCCAACTATGCATTACTGGTTTATTAAAAGCCAAATGCAGGTACATAAAAAAAAAGGGGGGGGGGACTGAAGATCAAATTACTTCCATCACCCAAAATTTTACTTAGAAACACTCTGTAGCATCTTGTTATATTAGATTTATTATATGCAGGTTCCATTCAACATATTAAAAAACAGAAGTGTGCATCAAAGCAAGTCCCCTGGTATTCCTGTGTCCACATCAGAGCTGCTTTCACAGGCAACTCAGATCTCTTTAAGAATAAAAATCAATCAGTCCTCACACCTTTGAGGTTTTTCCTTCCCCAAGAAAGAAATGTGTATTGTTAGGGGGGCACAAGTTAGCCGTGACATGGCAGCTTGCAGTTCTCACACAAATTGAAATTAAAAAAAAAAAAGAGTCAGGCTCCTCCTCACCCATCATTTAACCAATTCAACCTGCTAAACAATTATAGAGCATGGCAGTCTTCAAGTCAATTTGCCAGCTTGTGTTAGTGCTAGGACCTTTTTAGATTTCACTAGGATTTTCATTTGAGTTAATCCCCCACTCTCTACCCTGCCCCAGTGAACTCACAAGGCATTATAAACCTCACCTTATAGGACAGTCAACAGGATGGTTTATTTCCGTCCAAAAAGTATGCAACAATTACATCGAGGAATCTTGGTTCCCAGACCCATGCAGAGAATTTAATCCTATGAAAGCTCTCTAGCAATTATGCTGCAACTGCAGGCAAAGAGCAAGTGCCAAGATTGTGCGTTTCACAACTACAACTTACTACAGTATTTCACACCAAAACAAAAGCTCACTCATGACATGTAAAGAGAAGAAGCACATGTCTCGGGATAGAATTACAACCCAAGAAGAGGAGTCAGATCATCTCCTGACTGGAACTCACCCACGGCATATTAACTGAGAGATGCTGAATCCAAGACAAAGATATTAAGGACCAGATCCATAAGGGGATTTAGGGACCTGAAAAGCTCCAAATATGTACAGCTCCCTATCCTATTAAAATGGCATTCAGTGCCAAGTCGAGTGCATCTGTGGCAGACATTTGGCATCAGTAAAGGACACTCTGTGTAGAACTGAAGACAAAGGCAATTAGTGACAATTTCTGCAACAGATTGCCCAGTTGGATTCTTGAAGTGTCAGGGCAAGCCTTACTGAACTGTATACAGAGCTGCAGCAGTAAAGAAACAGGGTGCTCCAGGGTCTCCACTACAACCAAGGCATTTTATTATCCTCCAGCACAGAGGGCAACACAGCACACCCAAGATGTACTCCTCTCAAGTCAAAGAGTTTTAAAGAAATGGTTCGTAAGAGGTAAAAATGTCACAATCTGACCCAGGACATAGTTAAGAGCAGATGCATCTGAGCTTCACAGATACATCTGGTGAGAGAGGACCATGCAAATAGAGCACAACAGATTAAAAGTACTATCAGAACTAGGTTTCAAAGAAGCATAAGGTCACAATGTGGGAGCTGCTCTAAAAGGGCCTCCAAGGCATCCATATCAAGAGTTAATTAACCCCACATTCATCTTAGGAAATGGAGCACCCTGATTAGAAGAGCTAAATGGATAGGTCCACAAGGAACAATTAGCAGCTGTCTGCGGGGAAACACCAAGGTACTTGCTGGCACATCCCAAGAGACCTTTGTGTGTGAACAGAGCTCCAGGACTTTGCATATCAAGGATACCAGTAAAGCCTTCATGCAGACCTCCAAGGCCAAAAGCATGGCTCTAATCCTGTCCAGCTGGATCAGAAAAAACCATCACTAAGAATGTGGAAGTCAGCACTAATGGCCTCCATTTATACAACACTGGACCTTTAAAAGTGCCAAACAGGGAGGTCAAGAACAAGATGATATAAAGAACAAAAACACAGGGAAGGGTTTTAGAAGTATGGAAATAATCCAAAGCTACAAACTAGAAAATGGGATGTCTCTTTGAAATCACAGGAGCATAATTAAGTTTCTTTGTACAAGCAACCTAGAAACACCAAGATTCATCCAGGTTCTTCATCTTCACTCAGATTTGGGCCGCAATCAGAACATCAGGTACTTGATTTTTCAGCTCTGGTAACAAAGCAATAAACAAAACAACTCCCCTTACCTCCCCCCAAAGCAAATTAAAAAAAAAAAAAAAAAAAAAAAAAAAAAAAAAAAAA